CATCTGAATAAAAATTAACTGTTCATCATATGTAACAAAGATACAAAGTCGGAAGTCTGTTCACACCGTGTACATTCTAGTGAACTGATGAGAACTCAACTAGCATAATACCTAATACCATGTGCCTAAATAATTCTCACATCACTGAACCACAAAACTGATAGGCCTCTGTAGTTATTGTTAGACTTAATAGCAGAGAACGATAAGAAAGCTTTGAATTACTAAACACTGATAACATTTCTTAAAGAACAAAATAAGTGAATATTTTATAATATACAATCCCAGGATCCCAGCCTATCTACCCTGAGCTTTGTAGCAGAATACCTCTTGCCTCATGATTCCCTTAATTCAACATTTTTATCTTGTGTTCAAGATACATCTTTTACATTTATGTAGAAGGAAAGAAAGCCATGACTCTCATAACACCTCTATACAATCTGTATATAAAACTGGCTGTATATCCATAGTTATGATGCCAAAAGAATCTCAGTGTTTGCTATTAATCACCCATTAGTCAAATCTCCCTACTCATCAGAGTCTGATTAGAAGCCAGCTATCCCTGGGGCAGTTGTTTGTTGGAGAAAGTGTTAACGTTGGTCTTGCTTACACCAGGGTAGAATAAATCAAATGACATCGCTGTAGCGAAAACAAAAAAAGAAAGAAAATAGTTTAAAGCCTCTCATGGAACTGACTTTTGGTGACGACTGCCACCAGTGATTCTCAATTAGAACACATAGAGCAGGTAAAAGTAATTCCAGTTCTAAATTAAAATCAGGAAGTGATGTACTTTCCATACTGAAAGACAGCATGGCCTGGTAGCAAGTATGTCCTCTTTGGAGCCAGATAAAACCTCAGCTCTGCTGCATGGAACCTACGTCACTTTGGACAAGCGACAACTTCTCTGAGGCAGATGCTCACATCTGCAGGTGGATGTGTTAATTAGCTTGATTGTGATTATTATTTCATAATGTATGCACATATCAAGACATCATATTGTGACCTTAAATACATATTTTGTCAATTATACTTCAATAAAAATGGGTTAATAATAGCTAGCAGGATGGTTTGTGTGTAACTATATACACAGATATACAGCCTAGGATGATAGGTACTCTATAATTTATAACCCAAATGTCCACAGATTTTCTCTGCCATCAGTTGGCTGCACATGTTGCTGGCTCTCCCTCCCACCTGCATGGCAGCAGCATCTCCCTCACACTGTTAAAAGTCTTTCACACACAGTATGACCCACATTGCACAAGAAACCAGTAAGCTTCTGTTCTTGTCTTCATGAAGTGCCAGGTCTGTCCTGCAGACCCTGGCTGAGCAATGGATGAACAAAGTACTCAGACACAGGTATGCAGTGTAAGAGCAGCTAAGAGGGTGCCTGGCACCAGTAACTGAAGAAGAGAGCAGCCCCAAACAGCTGGAGCTACTTGCTTTTATTCAGTACAGACATACTGCCGAAAGCCTGGAGCAAACCCAATCTGCGGATAATTAACATTACTGTTCCCCCTTGCAGGCATGAGTCAGGCAGGCAGATGATCAAAGGTCAGTTTCTGGACAACATAAGTAAACAAGCCTGTTTAAGATAAATTCCCCTACACTACCTTGTACCTACTCCTTGCCCTCTGCCTCGGGGTTAGAGAAGAGCTGCCTCTTCAGCTATCCTCCCCTGAAGCTTTGCAGAACCCTCTGACCTTTCAGAAGCCCTGCTCCTTTCCCTGTAGTTTCCCCACCACTATGACCAATCTCCTACAGTAAGGCCAATGCTTACATGTCTCTGAGAGAGATGACCTTCTCAACAGCCCTGTTCCAGGCGCCGTCTGGGAGGACTGCTGTAGCCCAAGTCCTGGTCAAGGGCCTCCGCGGGGCAGTGCTCTGCCATGGATAAGGGCAGAAAGGAGAACATGGCTTTCTTACTTTTTCTCCTGAACCTTGAAACAGCCAATGTGTGACCCTCCTGGAAACACACCTATCCACTTCCTTTGCTTTACTGCTAGGATAAACTTGACCTTGAAATCATGCCAGGAAATAAACCATTTTTGTTGGACACTCACCTGTCTCTCACCTCTGTCTCCAGCATTGTGCTAATGTTATCTCATCCTCCCAGGGAGCCTGTGAGGCTGACATATTTAACACCAATTTATAGATGAATCGACTGAAACCTAGACAGATTCAGAATATCATCCCCACTCTGCTTTCTATCTCCTTTAAATACCTGAGGTTACCAGCCTAGGATGTCCATTTCCGTTTTTTTTTTTTTCTTTTTTTTTTTTTTTTTTTTTTTTTTTTTTTTTTTTTTTTTTTTTGAGACTGAGTCTCCTTCTGTCACCCAGGCTGGAGTACAGTGGTGCAATCTCAGCTCACTGCAACCTCCACCTCCCCAGTTCAAGTAAGTCTCCTGCCTCAGCCTCCCGAGTAGCTGGTATTATAAGCACACACCACCATACCCAACTAATTTTTGTATTTTTAGTAGAGATGGAGTTTTACCATGTTAGCCAGGCTAGTCTCAAACTCCTTATCTCAGGTAATCTGCCCACCTCGACCTCCGAAAATGCTAGGATTACAGGGGTGAGCCACAGCGCTTAGCCAGGATGTCCATTTTCTATTAAATGAGCCCCACATGTCCTGCAAAATGTTAGCAATTATTATTATTACTCTTCTGCTCCAAGTCAAATTAAGCCAGAGTTTACACTTACTTAAAAATGATGAGTCTGAAGAGGTATGTGGAGTAGGAATTGAAATGTAAAAATCAGAGTACCAGAGAGAGAAAATGGAGGCAAACCCTTAGGAGATTAAGTAAAAGAGGTCTGGAAAAACAAAATTGTGATTATAAAAAGTAAAATAGGAAGGACTGATATGAAAGACTTTATGAATGAGTCATCATGCCTTTTATTTATCTTCTTTTAAAAATAGCTCACAGGGCACCAGCTGCTTCTCTCACACTTCACACCCCCAGGCCCAAAAAATCTTCTCTGAGCCCTTTCTTTAAAAAAAGAAAAAAAAAGTAATCTTTTAGATAAAAACAAAGACTTGTTCTTCCCCCTCTTTCCTTTACTCTCCTTTTCCATAGCTTATCTTTCTCTCTCATACTACAGGTGGGATATAATCAAGAAACTATTTTGTGTGTGTGTGAATGAGATTTTGATCATAGTCTATAAGAAATCTCTAGAGATTGCTTTCAAACTAAAACCAATTTCATACCCAATAGAAAACTTTAGTTTCATGGAAGGAAAAGCTAAATGGGAGCATTCAAAAGCATCTTTCTAAAAAGAAGCCAATTCTGAATATACTTGCCCAGTTACTACCAAGAAATCTTCTCTTCCTTAAACCGAGAAATAAAAAGAGAAGTGCTCTATTGATAATGCTTTGTGTCATTTATCCAGGGCAAGTGAAAGATATTCTGGTTATCAGTCATTTTCTTTGTCAAGCATAATTCTTCATGAGTTATATTTTAGCAAAATAATAAATTCAATGTCAATTTTTTTAGACGTCTTCCAAGCAACATAGAACAAAGGTGGCATTAATGGGGGGAAAAAAAGGCAAATGCACATTAACCTCAGCAATAGTTCACAGGTGTTATCACCAATCCATCTTCTACTAATATTTTAGATCAAAATGGGCCAAATTCATTCAGCTCTAGAGTGTTGGTTTTTATGAACTTCCCAAATTACATGTCTATTTGCTGCTGATGTCTGAAAGACAAGTGGAGGTGAGACCAACGAGAGATTTACGTGTACACTGATAGAAAGGGATAGTGTTGCATCATTCTGTTTTTCTTCTTGTATATTTATTTCTTATTAGCAGCTTGAAATGATCATAGATCAGGAAACTGATAGACATTGCAGGCTTTCCTGGTTACTGCCACTCACATATCTTTTCTTCAAGGCCCATTCTCTCTTAACCAGAATTCCCAAGAGAGAGGAGAGTGGAATGGACATGGAAACCTCTAAAAAGCTTAGGCACTGTACTACTAGCACATCGCTCTCAGCTGCATATATAAAAGCCTCGAATAAACTTATTTATTTATATTGAGGTAATGAATTAAAATCTCAAATTAATATTTTGTTCCTAACATATTCAAATTCTTAAAGGAATGTTAACTAAATATAGGACTGATTATTTGTTGATTATTTAGGTATTATAAGTGAAAATGTGTATACTAATATCTATGGATCTATCTCAAATGTTTCTTCAAATTTCATGTATTATTTCTTTATATGCTAGTTATGAACTTTAATTTGGTGCCTCTATCTGAAAACCAAGAGGAGGTGAGACACCTAAAAGTATCCTCATTTGCATCTGTTTCCCTTCCTTTGGAGAAGGAGGATTGGCCCACCCAGTTTTGCCTTGACAACAAGGAAATAACTAATGACAATTTGGGAATTAATTCACTGTTGATCTCTCACGCTACCATGTCAGGTCTTCCATTGTTTGGCTCAAATGATGCCGACTTGCAAGAGAGCAGGACAGTAGCCTGTCATTTTTACATTCCTGATGGTTGCCAGCAAACATGAGTAATAAGTCACTTGATATGAATCAAAGAACTTGGTTAAGTGAATCAGATCCTCTTTACTTTGTCTTCTTATGGAAGACATGCTATAAGGTTCATATTTTTTAAAAGTCGTAAAACAAAATACAACAAATTTACTCCATATTTATTAAATACAGATCACTTCCTTCCCAAAAACATTTAAGTTCAGTTCTCCAGAATGAAAATGAGAAACATGTAGATGCAAATCAATTCTGTATTGGTTTCTTATTACCACATTAAAAAGAAAATCTGAAGATATAAGTTATGACTTAATTTTGATTTTGAATGCATACTGCTACCTAATGTACATAAAATAACCATCACAGAATGAAACTGACATCCAACAGCTGGCTGCATTTAAATGATTTTAAAATAAGTGCTTATAAAAAGTCAATTTTTGGTGTTTTGCTGCTTAGGAATGAAACAAATCACAAATATGTTTTCATTTGATTTTCTCTGACAGGACTGGGAATTCCCACATTTCATGGGAGATGTTGATGTAAATCTCCCTGGTTTGCATACCCCACACATGCAGTTCAAGATTCCTTTCTTCCAGAAGATCTTCAAGGAGGAATACCGTATTCACATAACAGGTGTGTTATATCTTTGAACACAATTTAATTATCTTCGTATATTATTTAGGGTAATGCTAGCTACTGTAAAAAGCAAGCCATGATATATGAGAGGCATAAATACAGTTTTATGACTCATTCACGTAATAGTGCAAGGTGGTTTTCAGATCAACAGGGGGCTCTGTACCATCATTCTGGGACCTAGGTTACCGGTGGCTTTGACAATTTCAGTGTTAGCAACCAGCGGGCAGATGGAAGTAAAGAGAATGGGGAAAGTGATTAAGAAGGCTTGTCCTTTTCTTACTCTTTGGCTTAGAAAAGAAATATGTCACCTCTTCTCATGTTCCATTGATGTTAACTAGTACATAGCCCTACTTCGAGTCAGGGAGAGCAAGGAAATGTGGTTTTTAGTTGAGCAGCCACTTCTGGTGTCAGATCTAGTATTCTAGTATAGGATTATCCAAGAGGAAAGACAAATCTTTGGTGTAGAGAGCTATTTCCGCCATACTCTGTATACCACTCTATCTTGATCTTATTCATTGGATGGGTTTCTTTTTCACCACAGAACTCAGTGTCTATTTTCAGCTTAATGTTCTTTATGCTCTTGTTCTTCATGTGTTGCTGAAATTAAAACAATGGTGTCCTAGAGCCCCAATCAGAACATACGCCTTTAGGGAGTTAGGCTACTTCTCATTTGATTTTCCAAAACCTACTCCTGTGGCAAAGCTCAGGTTCATCTTAAGTGATTCTCTTGTGGATCTTCAGATTATTTTATTTTCAGATATTTTCTGCTTTTGAAATGGGTAAAACATGATTTATTATAATATCCTTTCATGACATATCGTTCTCATCTAAAAAGGGCTTCCCGGAGCTACGTTTTATATCTATTTTTCTTTATAACAAGAAGCAGACAGCTGAATGATCACAGATAAAGGATGGCATTAGTTCCGAAGCTGTTCAAATGCAGGTAATGAATGTGCATCTGTTTGAAGGACAATGGCCTAGGATCCCACACCTGCTATAATAAAAACTCCTGAAGAAATCTGTGCTTACACTACCGTCTGTGCTGCAGAATAAAAATAGTCTAAGCTCAGAAAACATTAACATCTGAGTACTGCAAAAAACCTTTGCTTCCCAGCTAGGAGGCTGTTTTTTGCTTTGAGCATGAGGCGACCTTCCTAAATTGGAGAATGAGCTCATGAATAGGGAAGATGCAGCAGGTTTCTTTTCCTATTCAAAATGAATGAGGCCCATCTATTAAATTCACTGGGTAAATCAATCAATTTGAGTTCAGGTCACATAGTGTGGTTTCAGAGTCCCCACTTAATCTCTGCAGTATGCTACCCTCTTGGACTTCTAAAACAGCTATCACACACATGGCACCATCGTATCCCTTTGGGTGGGCTTCTGCATAGGCCATCTGTTCTTGCTACCAGCACTTGTCCCAGGCCATGATTACACTAATATTGTCTCTGACTATCAGAGTACCTTGTCAAAAATATCCTGCTGAAGTACAGAACTTCAGGTTAAAAAAGAAAAAAAAAAAAGGAGATCTGTTGGTAAGAAAAAAAATGAGCTGCTAAAAATATTTAATTTAGTGTTATTTTGTATGACTATCATTTACATTGTCATTTATAAATGGTACAGATTTCAGATTTGTGGTGTCCAGAGTTTACACAATTTAGAATGTTCTGTTTAAGAAGATGAATATAAAATTATATCTCAAAATTATATTCAGTGCCTCAGAAACAGGCCATGCATGCGGAGTCCCTGAAGCTTCAGTGTTACTACCTTTGAGGTAAAGCCTACTATGGATTTAGGTAGAAGCAAATCCATGACTTTCATTTGAACTAAAACCCTTGTCCCACCAAGAATTATTTTCTGAAAACCTAAAAGGATGAAAGACTAGTTAAACTTTTGTAACAGAGGCTGCACATTAATCTGGTTTGCCAGAAGGTGGGAATGTATTGTAATTAAGGCTTTGGTGCAGTGTTTGCTATATGATACTGATGGCTAGGTCCTCAGGGAACTTTATAAATATTCGGATTGTTGGTTTTCATCACTAATGTTTTGATCCAATAGGTCTGGGTGAGGGCCAGGGAATGGGACTTTGGAAAAGCTCCTCTAAGAGATGTTGATAACTGGGGATGTCACCTTTCTGATTGAGAGACCACAGACAGATCAGAGCATCTCCCTGAAATGCGTCATGCAAACAACTGGGTGCCTGGACTTGCCAAAAAGGCCTTTGAGGATTCTGGAGTTAAATTCAAAACACTAATAAAATAGGGGACCAGAAATGGTGGCTTACACTTGTAATCCTGCCACTTTGGGAGGCCAAGGCAGGAGGATCACTTGAACCCTGGAGTTTGAGACCAGCCTGGGCAACATAGGGAAACCTCATCTCGAAAGAGAGAGAGAGAGAGAGAGAGAGAGAGAGAGAGAGAGAGAAAGGAAGAAAGGAAGAAAAAGGAGGAGGGAGGGAAAGGCAGGCAGGAAGGCAGGCAGGCGTGATGGCACACACCTGTGATCCCAGCTACTTGGGAGGCTGAGGTGAGAGGATTGCTTGAGCCCAGGAGGTCAAGGCTGTGGTAAGCCATGATGGTACCACTGTACTTCCAGCCTTGGCAACAGAGCTAGATCCTGTCTTAAAAAATAAACTAAAATAGGGTAGATGAGGACTTTGAAGTGAAGGGCTCCACCATAAGCAAATTAAATCCAATTTGTGGTAAACCCAGTTTGTTCACATGCATCCACATATCCATGATAAAGATACCTGAGAAGATGTCACAGGTTTGGAGGTTGAAGCAGTCTGAGCTTTTGTTCTCTTGTTTTTGTTCTGTTTCTTTTACTCTCTGTTTTGTTAACTGGCTGAAGAGGTTGGTGAGGCCACCCTAGAATAGCATCTAGTCTTCTGTGAAGGGCCTTTTACTTTACCTGTCTACATTTGTAAGACAACAGTTTCTGTGGAAACCTTGGTAAAAATTCCAAAATACTGTGCTACATGCTGCGTTTCAATATTCCCAATGGTAGCCTACAAGTTTCCATGTAAACTACAAATTATAGCTTGTTGATCAGCTTCAAGTCCTGTTACTTTTTTTATGGAGGCTTCAGTACTTTCCTTTAAGTAATATCGTATCACCACTGGGATTATTAAGCATAAAACCCTCTAGATCCATCAGGGATCACAAACGTTAGTGTGTATTAGAATCACCTGGAGAGCTTATTGAACAGACAGCTGCGTTAGCCACACCTCCAGGATCTGATGCCTGAGGTAGTGGCAGACTCAGAATCCACCCTTCTGTCAAGCACTGCAAGTGATACCTCTGCTGGCTGGCAGAGGCCTGCTCTTTGAGACGCACTGCTGCTGAGACATTTTCTGTAGTTAGAATTCGTCTTATCTCAGCTTTAATTTGTTTTCATATGCAACTGTTAAAGGCCAAGGGGGAGAATGCAAATTCAATAGCAATGGGGTGACTGGGGAGAAAGGGATATGGTAGAGTCCTAGGAGCTGAAAATTTTAGAGCTGGGGCCAGCAGAGGAGATGATTGAAGAAAGGTGCTGGTCTGAGTGACCACAGAGGAAGCTGGAGCCAGGGTTGAGAAGGGAACCTGCAGAACCCCAGATGGGTCCTGCTGTTGCTTTACTGCTTCTTTTGTTATGCACTAGAAGAGCCTGGATGAGGACCCTGCAGGGTCTCCACAGTCAAGAGTTGGCTCCACCTTGGCCCCAATCTACCATGTCCCTATGATCTAGAAAAGACATCCAGTATACACTGAAGCAATGGAGCAAAGAGGTTAGATACATAGGCTCCACCTTTGGTACTTACTGTTGGTGTGGCCATCATCGAGTTTCTTAACCCCCTCAGAAACTCAGTTTCTCATCTATTTAATGGGTACAGTAATAATATTTATCCCATAGGGTTCTCACAAGAACTAAATTAATATATGTAAGGCACTTACAACACTATCTGCCATGTAGTAAGCATTTGATAAGCTTTCGCTGTTTTTCACTTAAAGCTTTTCCTTTCATCTGGCCAGAGGTTTTCCTGTGTTGCCCAGGCTGATTTCCTATTTAATTCAGAAATGCTGGGTAGCTTGAGGGGGCATTCTCTGGCCATTTATCCGCAATGCTGAGTTCTCTACTGTCCTGAGTCCTCAAAAAAGAGAAAACTAAGAATGCAAAATTCTCTCAATGAAATACTCTGTATGTAGCGGGTTATCTGACACTGATGAGTTCCCATTGACATTTTAAAAGCACTTAGGATTTGAGTATTTTTTAATCCTGATTCCAAGCTAGTTTTATTTATGTATGTCAGAAATAACTTGAATTGTTGCATCTGTTTAGCTCATCTGGATCCCCCTTGACAGATGGCTTGCTGCAGTATATATGAGCTTTCATTTTATAAGCTGGGCTACAGCTTATAAAAATAAATCATTTCTATCCAAGGGTATTTTAAAATTTTTTTATCTTAGAATTTTGACTTCAGTAACATAGGGAACAAATGGTTAGTAATTAAGTCACACTGGTACTTTTAGCCCAAGTTCATTGGTCTCCTCCTAAAAGTAAACATGAAAAGCAACTGTATAATGATCTCCTCTGACCTCTTCCCCTTTACCTATAAGGTAAGTGCATAGATGGATTGAAAATGCGATGTACTAAATCTCTGGAGGTGAGAGAGGAATGGCCTCTCAATTCAGTCTCGGAAGCTCCTCTGAGTCCTATTAATGCCAATCCCAGTGGTAGCTCTGCCATCTGTCATCGCAGCCAGACAAAGGAAGTATCCCATTGGTGGCCATCATCTGAGTAAATTAGGAGGGGGTTGGGCAAAAGGCCAGAAGGAAGGCCTGTGCAGCCTTGAGAAGAGAATTCACACTGTTGGCACGATGATGCCCATGGGAGCCCTTTCGGCAAAAATTGAAAATGTAGAAGTAAACAAGCCTGTGTAGTGTCTGTGTTCTATTTCAGTTTCCTGTGTTGTGTGAGGGTACAGGTATTTTACAATGGTGAGAATGTGGAAAATA